ATATTTTGATCATAATAAGGTGTTTGATTTTTACCATTGAAGGAGATGGGAAGCTCTTGGAAGTCTTTGAGCAGAGTAGTGAAAAAGTATGACTTAGGTTTAGCAAGATCACTCTCGTTGCTGTGTTGAGTGTAGACTGAAAAGGGGGACAAGGGCAGAAACAGACCAATTGGTAGAGTACAGATTAAGAGGTGACTGAAACGGACAGAGTGGTCAAAGTGAGGGTGGTGAGAAGTGGTTGAATTCTTGATATATGTCGAAATAGAGTCCATAGGATTTGGTAGTAGACCAGATGAAAGTGGGAAATAAAGGGAGAAGTAAAAGATAATGCCAAAGTTTTTTGACCAGAGCAGCTGAGAGAATGGAGTTGAATAATTCTTATAAATGATTGCATTAAATCTGTGCATCTTGTCACATGCCCACTTAACTACAGGTAATTTTACCATATAAGGTTGTGGGGGGGAAAAGAAGAAAAACAAAAAAGATAGGAAGGAAAAGCATGTTTTAAAATGTAATAAATTAGGCCTTAATGAAAAATTGTCCTTGAGAAACCTGAGATGGAATACTCTAAAGCTGATGTATTCTCTCAATCTTTAGAACTGAACTAGGAATTAACTCTTGAGAGTTCATGATAGGTTATGAAACCCTTTGCCTGTTGTGGAAATTAGGTTGTTTTCAATATTTGCTTTTGCAAATGATGATACCTGTTATTTTTTCTGTAAGGTAGATTTCTACAAATAAGATATTTTAGACCGTGTCAATCTAAAAATTTGATAGATTCTGCCAATTACCTTTTAAAAAATAATTTTAGCAAGTTTCATTCCTTAAAATATATTAGGGACTGCTCATTTACCTTGTTTTGATTTATGTATATATAAAATCTGTTTAAATCTTTATAAATAGCCTGGGCAATTGTCTGGTTTTTTGGTCCATTTCTATTGTGTTGTTTCTTTTTTAAATTTGTAAGCATTCTTTATTTATCATTTAATTCTTTGTTATATTTTGCAAATATTATCTTATTACTTATCTTTAATTTTATAGTATCTAGTCATGTGAAATTTTAAAGTTTTTATGTAGGCAGATCTGTCCATCTTTTATAGCTTCTGAGTTTCAGCATGCTAACAAAGATGATATAAATATGATCTCATATATATATTACAAAAACTTTTTAGAGATAGGATGTCACTCTGTCACCCAGGCTGGAGCAACCATAGCTCCCTGCAACCTCAAACTCCTGGGCTCAAGTGATCCTCCTGCCTTAGCTTCCCCAGTAGGTAAGATTACAGGCCTGTGCCACTATAGCTAGTCGGGTTTTTTTGGTTGGTTGGTTTGTTTTTTTGTAGAAAACGTATCTCACTGTGTTGCCCAGACTGGTCTTGAACTGCTGGCCTCAAGCTGTCCTCCCACATCAGCCTCCCAAAGTGCTGGGATTACAAGCATGAGCTACTATACCTGGCCAATCTCTTGTATTTTCTTCTGGTACTTTTATGATTTTATTGACTTTAATTTATAAAGTTAGATCTGAACATTCAGCATAATTTTGGATATGGTATGATATGGTTTAGATCCGGATTGCATTTGTCACATGGTTTGGGAATTATGTCTACCTTTTATTTTCTTCCACTCGGGTAGCTGACTGTCTTGTAAGGCATCGTGTCTCCACTGAAGATGCCACCTTCTTCTGTATTAGGTTCTCATAAACTTTGAAAAACATCAAGTTTATTGAGGTATAATTGATACACAATGAAATGCACCCATTTTAACTGTACAGTTTTATTGATTTTGATAAATATATACACTATCACTGCTACTACAGTCAAGCTTTAGAACAATTGAATTACCTCCAAAAAGTTCCTTCCTGTCTGTAGTCATTTCTCTCTCTTGGCTCCAGGCAGCCACTGATCTGTTTATTAGTTTTGCCTGCTCTAGAATTGCATATCCACGGAATCAAGTAACATATACTCTTCCATGTCTGGTTTCTTTCACTTGGCATGTTTTTGAGATTCATCCAATTTGTGTTTATCACAGATTTTTTGTTTGTTTGTTTTGTATTTTTAAATACAATATGAGTGTACCACAGTTCATTCATATTCTGGTGAACATTTAGATTGTTTTCAGTTTAGGCTGTTGTGAATAAAGGTATTGTTTTGTGTGCATGTCTTTGTGTGAACATATGTTTTCATTTTTCTAGGGTAAATACCTTAAATTGGAATTACTGGGTCACATGGGAAGTTTATGTTTAAATGTATAAGGAACTGCCAAACTATTTTCCGGATGATTATACTACTTTACATTCCCATCAGCAGTGTATGAGAGTTCCAATTCTCCAAATGTCAGCATTTGATGTTCTCAGTCTTTAATTGCACACATTCTGAGAGGTTTGTAGTGGTATCCCATTGCAGTGTTTTGGTTTTTTTTAATGGTAGTAAAATACACATACCAAATTTACCATTTTAACTGTTTTTAAGTGTATAGTTCAGTGACATAAAGTACATTCACATTATTGTGCAACCACCACCACTGTCCATCTCTGAAACTTTTTCATCCTCTCAGTCTGAAACTCTATCCATTAAACAGTAACTCTTCATTGCCTACTCTCGCCATCCACCTGTAATCACTATTCTACTTTTTATGTGAATTTGACTCCTCCAGGTACTTCATATAAGTAGAATCATACGATTTTTGTCCTTTTGTGTCTGGCACATTTCATTTCATAGTAATAATGTCCTTGTGTTAGGCCATTCTTGTGTTGCCTTAAAGGAATATCTGAGACTGGGTAATTTAAAAAGAAAAGAAGTTTATTTGGCTCCTGGTGCTGCAGGCTGTACAAGCATGGCACCATCATCTGCTCAGCTTCTGGGGAGCCCTCATGGTGCGTTCACTCATGGTGGAAGGCAGAGGAGGAGCAGCCATGTCATATGGCGAGAGCAGGAGCAAGAGAGAGAGGGTGGGGAAGTGGCACACCCTTTTTGAACAACCACATCTCATGAGAACTCACTCTCTATCCCAAGAACAGCACCAAGCTATGAGGGGTTGCGCCTGTGACCCAGTTGCCTCCCACCAGACCCCACCCCCAACATTGGGGATTGTATTTTTAGCATGAGATCTGTACAGGACAAATATTCAAACGATATCAGTCCTGAAAGTTCATTCATATTGTAGCATGTATCCAAATTTGATTCTTTAAGGTTGAGCAATATTTCATTGTATGCATATATCACTTTTTTTTTTTTTTTATTTATTTGTCAGTGGACATTTGGGCTGTTTGTACCTTTTAACTATGCGAATGATGCTGCTATGAACATTGGTATATAAATACCTGTTTGAGTCCCTTCTTTTAATTCTTTTGGTTATGTACTTAGGAGTGGAATTGCTGGGCCATATGGTAATTGTATGTGTAGTTTTTTTAGAGACTGCCGTACTGCTTTCCACAGTGACTGCACCATTTTACATTCCCACCAGCAGTGAATAAGGGTTCCAGTTTCTCTACATCCTCTACCTCTTTTCTAACACTTGGTAGTTTCTGCTTTTTTTTTTTTTTTTTTTTTTTGAGACGTAGCCTCTCTGTGTCTGCCAGGCTGGAGTGCAGCAGCGCGATCTCAGCTCACTGCAAGCTCCGCCTCCTGGCTTCATGCCATTCTCCTGCCTCAGCCTCCCAAGTAGCTGGGACTACAGGCGCCCACTGCCATGCCTGGCTAATTTTTTTGTATTTTTGTAATAGAGACGAGGTTTCACCATGTTAGCCAGGATGGTCTCGATCTCCTGACCTCAAATGCACCCGCCTCGGCCTCCCAAAGTGCTGGGATTACAGGCATGAGCCACCACCTGGCCGGTAGTTTCTGTTTTTTTATTTAAAATAATTGCCATTCTAATGGGTGTAAAAAGTCATGGTTTTAATTTACATTTTCTTCATGACTGCCATTGAGAAGTTTTCTTCTTTGTGTGTCTGTTCAAATATTTTCACATTCTTTTCAGAACGTGTGTTCTTTGTCAGATAGATACATGTATTTCTTCTTTATCTTTACTAATTTTCTGTCCACTTACTAATTATCAAGAGAGGAATGTTGAAATCTTCAACTGTAATTTTGAGTTTATCTTCCTTCTGTTCTGTTCATTTTTGCTTCATATGCTTTGAAGCAAAATCTTGAAAGCTGTGTCATTAGGTGTGTTCACATTTAGGACTGTTAGGTCTCCTTGATTAATTGATGTCTTTATCATTATGAAATGTCTCTGTTTATCGCCGGTAATGTTCCCTATCTAAAGTCTACTTTGGTATTAGTGTATCCATTCCTTTCTTATGATTAATTTTTGCACATTGTATCATTTTGCTGTGTTTTTATTTTCAACTTATTGGTCATTTAATGTCTTTCTTTTAGATAGCGTATAGTTGCATCTTGCTTACAGATTGATTTTTTACGATCTTTGCTTTTTAATTTGTTTAAGTCCGTTTACATTTATTGCAGTTGGCTGTATTGTGTTTAAGACACTGTTTGTTTTCTATTTGTCTCATCTTTTCTTCCTTTTCTGCCTTCTTTTCGTTTAATGGAGCATTTTTGGAATTTTGTTTTGTCTCCATTATTAGCTTGTCCCTCTGTTTTTTCCCCCAGTGACACTTCTAGGATTAACAATATGCACCTTTAACTTACCGCAGTCTGCCTTCAGAAATATTATTCCTCTTAATGTATAATGTAAGAACTTTAGAATAGTATACATCCATTTACTCTCCCTCATTCGTTTTGGTATTGTGAGCTTAACATTTTACTTCTATATGTGTTATAGATTCCACAGTAGCATTTGAAACTATTTCTTTCAAAAGCCAGTTGTCTTACAAAGAACCTTAAAAACTAAGAATAACATTCCTTTCTATTTACCCTCTTATTTACCATTTTTATTTCTTTTCCTTTGTGGAGATTTCTTTTTGTAGATCCAAGTTTCTTGGTGTTATTTTCCTTCTACTTGAAAAAATTTCTTAAACATTTCTAAAGTGTAGGTCTACTGGCTACAAAATCTTTCAGCTTTTATTTGTATGGAAATGTCTTTATTTCACTCTTCAACATTTTATTGTACAATTTTTCAAGCCACAGAGACTTTAAAATAATTGTAGAATATAATTTCACAACTAACATTTTGTTATATTTGTTTTTGTCTTCTATGTTGTCCATCTATCCATCCTCTCTTCAACTGTCTTTTTTTATGCTTTTCAAAGTAAGTTGCAGATGTTAGTATACCACACCCTTAACTTCAGCATGTATATTAACTAAAACTTAGTAGTTTAGTGTTTTTAACTACAATTTACTATGCTGTTCCAGTTATTTATTGCTGTGTAATACATTGCCCCAAACTTAGTGCCTTACATATCAGCAACTATTTATTTTGCTCATGAATCTCTCATTTGGTCAGGGATTGGCAAGGAGAGCTTGTCTTTGGCAATACATTGTAACAACTGTTTACATGGCATTTACATTGTATTTGGTATTATAAGTAATCTAGAGATGGTTTAACATATTTGAAGATGCATGTAGGTCATATGCAAATACTATGCCATTTTATATAAGGGATTCGAAGCATTCTTGGATTTTGGGATCCATGGGAGTCCTGGAACCAGTCCTCTGTAGATAGTTGAGGTACGACTGTAGTCTTTGGATTGAAAGAGTCACTAATTTCGCTCAGATTCAAAGAGAAGGGCCATAGACTCCACCACCTGATGAAAAGATAACAGTGTTACATTGTTAAGAGCATGTAGAATGGCTTCTGTTGTGACCATCTTTGGAAAATACAGTTGACCACATACACCATTTCATGAGCTGTGACAAATGCATACACCTTTGCCAGAAAGTTCTATCAGGGTACAGAACCTGCACCTCTTTCCAGTTATTCCTTCCCCCCACACCACCCGTAGAACCTAACATTGTTCAGATTGTTTCATCTTAGTTTAACTTGCTTAGAACTTTATGTAAGCAGAGTCATACAATACTTATGTGTTGTAAAAAGTTTCTTTTTGCTCAGCATAATGTTTTTGAGATTCATCCATACTGTTGAATGTTTCAGTGGTTTGTGACTTCATCTATTAAGGGACACCTGGGCTGTTTTCAGTTCCTAGCTATTATAAATAAAGGTACAATGAACATTTGTGTGAAAACAGTCTCTGTGTGGACATATATGTTTCTTTTCTCTTGGTTAAATAGTTGATGTGTTTTTCTTTCAGCGTTTGTTTTTGATGAGAAGTCTGATTATACAGTCATGTGCCACATAATGACATTTCAGTCAACAAGAGATCATAGTTGACAATAGTCATTTAAGATTATACCACCATATTTTCACTGTACCTTTTCTAGGTTTAGATACATACTTACACTGTGTTATAGTTGCTTACAGTATCAGTACAGTAACATGCTGTACAGGTTTATAACCTAGGAGCACCCAGGCTATACCATATATCCTAGTTCTGTAGTAAGCTATACCATCTAATCGAGATTTGTGTAAGTACATTCTGTGATGTTTGCACAATGACAGAATCACCTAATGATGCCACCTAATGATACATTTCTCAGAATGTATCCGTGCTGTTAAGTGATGCATAATGCTAATTATCTTTTCTTCCTGATACTAAGTCTTCTTTCCCTGGCTGCTCTTAAGATTTTTTCTTGTCCCTTTTTGTTTCTGATGATGACCATGCTAAGAGTTGTGTTTTTTTTTAATCTGTATATTTATGGTTTTCCTTAAATTTGGAAGATTGTTGCCATTGTTTCTTATATATATATATATATATATATATATATATATATATATGTATTTTTTACCACCTCTCCTCTTCTTTCATCATTTCCTCGTTTTCTGGGACTCCACTTACACATGTGTTAGACTGTTTGGTATTATCCACAGGTCATTAACGTCATATTAATTATTTTTCAGTTTTTTTATTTGCCTGTGCTTCAGTTTGCTTTGTCTTCTATTTTGCTGTTTTTTCTCCTGCCTTGTTAAATAATTTCAGATATTTTGCTTTATATTTCAAGAAATTCCATTTGATTCATTTTCATCTTCATGTATTTTTTTGAAATATTGAGCATATTTGTAATAACTGAAAATCAGGTTACCTATTGATTTCATGATTTTTTTCACTCTGAATTTGTTGGTTTTTTCTCTTGATTATGGGTGGTATTTTCCTAGTTTATTTTTATTTTTATTTTTACATATTTAATGATTTTATAAGATTGGATGCTGGACATTGTAATATTTTGTTGTTGGGTGACTAGATTTTGTTTTCTTTTAGAGTGTTTTGTTTTGTAGCCAGCTAAATAACTTGCTGGTCAGTTTTATTCCTTCAGGGCTACATTGGAGTTTGTCTAGAGAAGGCTCCCAGTGTCACCGTGTTCTCTTCGCTCAGGTTAGAGGGAATTTTAGGAGTCTCCCGGTCCTTTATAAGCACTGGGAATATTTCAGCTCACTGCCCCTCTTTCCCTAGCTTCCACTTACCTTAATCGTGTACAGTTAGTACTCAGCAGTAGACTCTCACATGACAGATTTCTGAAGCCATTTCTCTGCCTTCTCAGACAAGCACCCCTCTTGTCTGGCACTTGTCATACATTTTACCCACTTCGGCTTCCTCAGCTCTGATCTCTTGATTCTGACCTCACTGAAACTGCTGTCTTCTCGTTGGGTTCCCCTCCATTGACTGCAGGTTGGAAATTACCTCCAGGCAGGCATCCAAGCAGTGGATGGCTCACCTCCTTTGTTTTTGTCCTTTCATGTATTACAGTCCTGTGCTGCCTGTTATCCAAGGTCTGAAAATTCTTGTTTGAGAAGGAGCAACTGTCAGATACTTTTGGATCTTTCTCTGAAATTAGCTTTCTGTTGTGTTTACCTCTTTGTCTAATGCTAATACCATATCAGATTTTTTTTAAAAATCTTTTAAATATACAGAAGAGTGCACTTCCAAATGTATAGCTTGCTGCACTTTCGCACACTGAGCACACGTATTTAGCTAGCGTTCAGATCAAGAAGCAACATCGGCAGCTCCTGTGTGCTCGCTCCTGTGTGCTCGCTCCTGTGTGCTCGCTTGTGCTCTGTCACCCTCCGTTTTCTTCCATGTGTAACCGCTGTCCTGACTTCTCATAGCATAGATTAGATTTGCCTGTTTTCGTCCTTTAACTAGAATCAAGCACACTTACTTGTGTCTGATTGCTTTTAATGTGTTTGTGAGATTTATCCACACTGTTGGTTGTAGTAATTGTTTATGATAGTCGCTGTATAGTATTCCATTTTAAGAATATGCCACAGTTTAATCTGCTGTTGATGGACATTTAATCATTTTTGGTTTGGAATTGTTAAGAATCTTGCTGCTGCTCTAAACATTTCAGTGATTGTCTTCTCGTGAATATGTGTACTTAATTTTTTTGATGTATACTTAAGAGGGAAATTTTTAAGTCAGAGGGTATGCATATATTTAGTGTATACTCCATTTTTGAAGGTGTTGTGCTAATTTTAATTATACCATTTAAGTTAATATGTTTTAATGTCTGGTAGAGAAAGGGACATTATTAGAAACAGTTGTTTTGGTTATTCTTACATATTTAGTCCTTGAAATAAAATGTTTCTTAAATTGGCATTTACTTATATTTGTGTTGCTTTGGGAAGAAATGATACCTTTGTTCATCTATGAGTCACGTTTGGAACTAGCTCAAAGGCCATGGGTCCTGATTCCTTTTTTTTTTTTTTTCCTTGTAGAGGGGAGGTATGGTGTCAAGAAAACATAGTCACCATTATTATGAAAATTAAAATATGGAAGAGATGATCCCTACATCAATCAGCTTACAACTAGAGGCACTGACAAATGTATACAGATAGCTGTAATGTAAGGTATAACATAATAAATATAAGGAGACATTAATTATTTTATGGTATTAAGAATGTATAATAAGACATGAAGGAGACGGTGATTATGTATAAGAGTTTAGACAACCCTGTGAGATACAGTGTTTAGAATGAGGGCAGTTTTTAACATGGCATGATAGGTGGGTGGGGGATAGAGGTTAGTAATGGATAGAGAACCATTTCTGAGTGAAGTCTCCTCAGAAGCGAACACATTGAAGTCAGAAACACAGATATCCAGTGTATTATAGCCAGTGGTCAAATGATGGGGCTAGATCTGGTACCTGGTGATGATGTCATGTAGTGGGCAGTAGTGCTGGGATGGCTGGGGTCAGGCAGGGGCCTCATATAAAATGTGAAGGAGTTAGAAATTTATTCGGTTGGCATGAGAAAGTGTTAAAGCTTTTGAATATAGAATGATATGTATAACTTTGAGTTTTTAGGAAGATAATGCTAGTGGGAAAATTGAGGATAAAGGCAAAAGGGAAACCAGTAGGACAGTATTGGTAAGTTTGGGGAAAAAAGGAGTAAGATATATTTTTAAGGAAATGTATAGGGTTTGAGTATAAATTAGAAGGCAGGTACAAGGGAATGATGAACGTGGTCTTTAGAATTAGACAAATTAGAGTTTAAATCTTAACCTGCATTGCATTTAAAGGACTGAAAACAAGTCCCCAAAGAGAAAAAATTTGTCTTTTGTAAGATGCTTATTCTATGAACATTTACAAGCACTGGAAGTATAAAAGCAAATGATACACATATTCTCTTGAAGTCTGGTCTAGTCTGGAAGAAGAGGCTGCACTGGCAGGTTTTGACCAAATTGTGTAGAGTCTCATCTGACATGATTGGGAGCTTTGGCTTTATTCTGGAAGCAACTAAAAGCCATCAAAAAAGACCGGGGAATAGTGTGGGAATGTAGAAATGTAGGGGAATTTCTAAGGGTGAATTAGTAGTAATTGGTAAACAATTGGATATACTGGGAAAGAGAGAGACTCTTTAGAATATGACTGAGAATCTTCCAATTTGAGCAGCTGGACTGATAGTGCTACCATCATTACCTCACAGGATTTTTCTTAGTGTGTCTTATAAATGTTGCTTGTCCCTCATAAAGAATGGTTTTCCTTTTCTTCAGACTAAGGACTTTTTATTATAATACACAACTTACCCCTTGTATTTCTCCATCACAACCCTTAACTGTGCATTGCAATTACATAATTCATTGTGGTTTTTATTTGTGCCCATTTCCTTCACCACATGAGGACAAGAAATTATGTCTCATTTTTCTACCACTGCATCTTCATCCACCTAGTAGGCACTCAAAATCTAGTAGACAATTTTCGAATTAATGATTATGAAGAATTTGAAGGCTGAATGAGTATCAACCTACACAGTGGTCAGGGCAAATAAAAATGAGGGGGAGAAAGTAATGAATGGCACCAAATTTTTCAATTCATAACTAGGACAGTGAGATTAGGCAGAGTGAGTTCTTTGGGAAAATAATTTGAGTTTGATTTTAGATACGTTGAATGTAGATGCTAATTAGACATCCATATGGATGTGTACCGTTGGTAATATGTAGTTACAGGCATACCATGCCAGAGATAAGGGCTTAAAGATACAGAGTTAGGGGTTCGTAAGCATAGAGGTGCTGTGGGAATGGATGACATTGCGCAGAAAATTGGTTTAGGTTAAGAAAAATGGCTATTGACCGAAACTTGGAGAGAGGCCATGTATGAGAGGTAGGAAGATGAACTAGCAGACGACCTTGTTGCCTTTAGAGGGATGGAAGGAAATGAGTGGATACTACATGAGGGAAGCCAGAGGAGATGAGGA